TGAAAATATTTTTTATTTTATGGAAATCCTCAAGATAATGTCACTTTTTCAAAGCTTTGTGGCGCTGAAAAAACATGGCTGCCACATGCGAGTGCAGGTGAGGAAAAGAGATTGAATAAAGGGATGGGACAAGTCATGTGATCAAATACAAGCAGACTATTGGTTTCTTATACTTCCTCCAGATTACAAATGAGCATTTTTATTGGTGTATGATTTATTGTGCCTGGGAAACTGAGGGAAAATGGGTATGTTACCCTGTAGCAACGCTATGCAATAGAGGGTTAAACGCAAAGCTTTTTCGTCATCTGGGACGACCGTCAATTTATTTGGCAGTTTCTCATGAATTGTAGGATGACACCCTGTGACTTTCAAAAGGAATGGGAAACATATTAGTGCAGATGTGAAGTGCACTGCTAGGACAGTTCGTACCAGGCTTCTAGAAACAGGACTGAAGTCCCATAAAGTAAGGAAGAAGCCCTTCATTAGTGCGAAACAGAGAAGAACCAGGCTGCAGTTTGAAAAAAAAACAAACAAACCACTATTATTCATAACCATACACCCATAAATGATGTCAGATTAAATCATCACCACTCACCTCTTCTTTATTCAGCGTCAATGCATCTTCCGTTCAGTCATCATTGTGGAAATATCGATCCGTGACCCTGCCGTGTCCAAAAATACAATATCTGAAATACATTATATTTACGTTTCAAAACACCATGCATCTAGCGCAGAAAAAAGGAAAGTGTGTTTAAAGGCTTTATTATTATTATTATAATCTAGCACTAGCATATCTAGCTAAGAACCACCAGTATCGATCGTGGGGCATGTGACACAATATAATATGCTGATGTAATCAATGACTTTGACTCTAAGAAGGTCCCGCAGAGTTAATATCTAAGAATTCTCACGATGGGTGAGTGCAATGATTATTTTATTTGTATTTTTTTAAATCAGTGTAAATTCATACCGCACATTAAAATGTTTGTTTTATGTAGAAAGCATTTGCTGCTACAGTTAAAAGCATTATTTTGGTTTGCTGCCTCATTTTGTATTTTAAGTGTGACGCCCTATTACATATTTTCGTATTTTCAGTGCATTTGCACATTCGCGCAGAGACCAAGTCTCTGTTGCTGTTTTAACTGTATTTGATTTTTTTATTTATTGTGGTTAATTATTGTTTATATTTGTATTTATTGATATTTCATGTTGCACTCAATGGACACTTTTGACACTTTTAAAATAAAAGTGCACAGGCAATATAGATGTTTATGTTGTTATTTTTAGAAGGAGATCACTGGGGGCAGGAGAAAACAGGATATAAAGGTTGGGGGTGGGGGCACTCCTTTGCCTATCCTGCCTGGGCCCCTTCAACCCACCAACTGGCACTGTGTGTGTGTGTGTGTGGATTATGTATGTATTACATTGTGGGGCCAAATTTCCCCAAAATTTGATAGAAATCTGTTATTTTTATATTGTGGAGACCATTTTTTGGTCCTCACAAGTTTTATTTGGTTACTCATGGTTAAGGATAGTGCTGGGTAGGGGTTAAGATTTGTCATTGTTGGGATTAGGGTTTTGCCCCTAGAGATGAATGGAAGGTCCCCACAAAAATATGAATACAAACGTGTTTGTGTGTCTGTGTGTGTGTTTTAAGAATAAATGATCTCTTATAATATTTCATGTGAGAGAATATAATGTGGCATCGTACATTATTCACACCAAACTGTCACAATAGGCTGAAGCAAAGTGCAAAAACCAAAAGCAAGAACGCACAACTAAATGACTGTTTCTAGAAGTAATGCGTAATATCTCTGGGATGGCAATGGTGTCCTCTTGAGGCTGTGGGTTAATACAACTCTAGCAATTTCATAGCGCACAAAACTCTCACGCGGGCGGCACAATGATCAATGGATAGCATCGTTGCCTAAAATTCAGTACTAAAGAATTCATTTAATTTATGTGATTGCATCATCAATGATTATGCTTGTGTGCACACATTGTTTTTGTGTCGTTTATGTGCATTTGTTTAACTTTGATGCGACTAGAGAGTGAGTAGTGTGTTATATCCAGCTCTTGGACCTTGTCACTGATAGTCAGGGACTTGTTTGTGGGGAAATGATTATGAATCATTGCGACAATCAGTGAAATTTGTCTGAGGTATTTGCCAAAATGTTTTGAATAATCATTGGACAATAAGGACAGAACAGTGTATTTGTTCTCCATCTTATGTATATATGTCTATGGATTGTTAGTGCAAGCAACGCTACTCTTTTATTTGTTGATTTGCGTATCTTAAGATCAGAGAAATTTGAAACTGAATTTTCACGCAGATTCATGGTTTCATAAACACGGCTGACGCAGAGGATAAAAAGTGAAACTGAGTCCACTTGCATTAAATGTGGTACACAACCTCCTGCAGTGATGATGGCTGAAACGTTTGGTAGTCTGAAAAAAGAGTTAAATCATTCCTTTGACTTAGAGAAAAAAAAGCCAGTACCATTCAAAATAAATTCAACGACAAAGATGGTTCTTAGCCATTAAATGACATGAATCATGCCCGGGGTAAGGTTCAGTGCAAGAATAACGGCAGAGAAAAAGATGCTCGCGTGTTTATTGCTTGCTCAAGCAAGCTGAGAGAGAGAGCAGCTGCTGAGAAGGAGGGCTATGGAGCAAATGCATCTGAAGCAGGAAGTGTCTGTTACTACTACCACCAGTAACATCACCAAGGCCACGACCACTTCCTCACTCTGTTTTGTGAAGGAGTTAGAGGAGCATACGCATTGGGACAGAGAACCGGCAGGCTAAAAAGTCATAGGCACCAGTGATTTATTAGATGATGCTCCAGTAAGCCATTGAACCAGCAAAGCATATTAAGCTGGCTGGTTGGGGTCCTCAACCATGCGAGGGTCTAGTACATCCCAAGCTGGGACCCAGCTTCTCTTCTCTGGGCTGTTCCTTTCCCAGTTGACTAAATACTCTAATGGCGCTTTTCCACTGCCACCAAGCAACGAACTGTACCCAAGCCATACCGCGAACTGGCAGTTTTCCATTGCGAAGTATCTGAGCCATACCCAAGCTGTACCTGTGTAGACATGACCCTGCTTACTAGCAGGGATGAAAGCATGACCAAACCAAGCTGGTAATATCACCACCATCTGATTGGTCGAAATGCTCAGAGATAGCGGTGTTCCGCGCATGTATTATATGAAAGGGAAAAGGGTATATTCTATATATTATTAATTATTTGTAGTATCGGGTATCACGATGTACTGCTGCATTCCTGGTAGTGTTGTAGTTCTCGAGACCGGTCTTGGTCTCGAGACCGGTCTCGAGACCAATTTTTTGTGGTCTCGGTCTTGTCTT